GGGTTTTAACTGCACCATTAAACATCACAGAACTTTCAGTAAAGTTGTGAGAGCTGGCAGCAGTTCTGAGATAGCCAGGAAGGATCTGCTTTAGGACATGGCTTAATACTAAATCCTAAACCTCTAATCTTGAGTGGATAAAGCCCAAATCTGACTTTTCTGTTCTGTTCTCTTGCCTCCACATTTTAGCACTTTATGTTATGTTGCCCAGAAAAGTGGTCAGAGTTGATCCAGAGAACAGCAGGAGTAAAACTTCAGTGAATGAAACCTGCAATGGGGAAAAATAACTGTCTTGCAAATGGAAGTTAAAGGCCCATTAGTCGAACTCTAGAAGAGGCTATCCCTTTTCCAGGCTACAAAGTGGAGCCAAGTTTCTGCACCTAGCGTGGGGCAGGGGTTCCTGACAAAGCTAATGCTGGTTTGGAGCAGGGCTAGCCCTGAAAGCAGGGCATCCTGCCCATTGCAGTGCCTCAGCTGGAGGGGCCGGGATTGCCCAGTGCTGTCTAGGGGGATGCTGTTAGTTTTTCTGGTCCTCTACGAAATTGTGGTAAATCCTTCAGGTTTGTAGCACTTCCCTACATCCCTTTCTCACCTAGTGCTGTGCTGCAGTAGCATGCTGTTTTGTTCGGAAATGATATGAGATTTCTGGAAATAAGTTAGTTGATAAAGTACCGTTCAACCTCCCACAGTGTGTTTCCCCCCTCCAGACTGTTTTGTTGTCTGGGGTCCAGTTTGGGGTACCCCTCGTATTTCAGTCTAGGGGTTTGTGTGTCTTTCTTTTCTCACCTTGTTGTGACTCTTTTCTACTGGGTTGCTACCTGGCAAATGCTCTGCTTATAGTTCCATTTATCCCAGCATCTGAGGTAACCGCAGTGCCAGAGATGCTGTTTGGATCTCAAGTTTCTGTTTCAATATTTTGCCTGTGGTTTCTGGCTGTCTGAATCCCTCCGAGGACCCCTGAAAACTAACAAGTTTTGCTGCTGCCAGTGGGCTCCATCGATGCTTCCCCCTGCACCTTTGAGTCTGGGCAGTGAGTTCATGCCCTGCCTGACTCTGTTTTGCAGCCAGTCTGACAAATGCTAGCACAAGAACCCCCCTGCAATGCAGGAGTGACTGCCAGCCCCTCTGTGTGATGCCTTAGCTGCTGCTTTGTTACCAGGACGTATTTGACCCACGGGTCTGCCCCAAACCCCACATTTTTATTCTTGAGGCCCCTCCTGCCATGCTGCTCCTGGGGGCACCACTTTGGGATGCTGCCCTGTGCTAGCTTGGCAATACGCGTGCCGCAAAATACTGGCGAGTAACTTGATGCGCATCTGGTCATACGTCACTAAAATCAGCAAGAACTGACAAACAAGGAAATTTGCAGGGAAAGCTGGCCTTCTATCCCCTATCTGTTAAGCTCATTAAAAGTAGCTTTTATCATCAAACCAGACATCCCATGAACAGCTAAGAAAATACCGAACGTCAGCTTAGATGGGAAAGCAGACCCTTGGGCACATCCTCTTGCAGTCAACCTTTCCAAGTGCCCTCCGATACGTGGGCTGTGAGACCAGCTTCTGCAGAAAATGTTCCCTGGAAACTTGTTTCATTAAAGCAATATAACTGTGCCTTATCATTTCCTACTCCAAGTGGCTATTCTGGGTTAAAATGCAACTGGAATGTTAGGAATTATTAGGAGAGGAACAGAAAACAAAGCAGAGCCTCCCTGTAAATCCATCTCAAATATCGTGTCTGCTTCAGCCCTGCTGTCTCGGGCAGATGTGGCAGAGCTAGAAAAAGTACAAAGGTGACCAGAGGGATGGATCAGCTTCCAGGCAGTGGCCAAGTAGATACACCGAGGGTCTTCTCTTAGAAAGGAGGTGGGCAAGGGACAACACAGCACAGGTCTATAAATTGCAAAGGGCATAAAGGAATGAATATTCACTCATAATACAGGTCTTTGGAGGCACAGACAAATAGCCAGAAAGCAAAAAACAATAGTGGAAGAAAACCCCACCAAATGCTGTTAAACACAGTGCTACAAGTGGCTAAAGAAAGAAATCACCAATACTGTGGGTTCAGTTCAGCAACCGACCGGGGCCACACGCATGTGTTGGTGACCCCCCTCCCCTGGGATGCACCATGGGGACTCTCTTCTGACTCTGTACAGTTGCTCCTATATTTTTAAACCTCTGAGACACCATCAGAGGTGTTACAGAGTCACAGAATCGATTCGGTTGGAAGCGACCTCTGGGATCATCGAGTCCAACCTTTGCCCTAACACCCCTATGTCAACTACCCCATGGCACTAAGTGCCACGTCCAGTCTTTTCTTAAACACCTCCAGGGATGGTGACTCCACCACCTCCCTGGGCAGCCCATTCCAATGCCTAATGACCCTTTCTGTGAAGAAATGCCTCCTAGCATCTAACCTGAACCTCCCCTGGCACAGTTTGAGACTATGCCCTCTTGTCCTATAACTAGTTGCCTGGGACAAGAGGCTGACCCCCACCTATCTACAACCTCCTTCCAGGTAGTTGTAGAGGTCTGGAGATGGCTTTGGCTGGCCTAAAATAGAGCAAAAATGTTTTCCAGGCTGCATAACTGTCCCTTCCTGGTGGCCTCAGCCTGAGAGCAGCCATCCCAACGGGGTGGCTCGGCCAACAGCTGGCTGCTGCCACCTTCGGGTACGGGACCGCGGACTGACTGTGCGGCACCGGACATCGCCGCAGAAACCCTCAGAAATGGCCCAGCTGGACAAACAGATCTGCCAGGCGATGGTTAAAGCAGCGTGACGAACTGCATCAAACACCCTCTCCAAAGAGCAGCCGGACTCTGCGCAGCAGCTCGCCCTATGTACAACATGACAGCAGCGATAATTTTAGAGATAATTATTCTGTGGTTTTAGTACTGTGACAGAAAGGGGTATTTTGTGATGTTGGAGTGAAGTGACTCTGTGCTCTCTCCCAATATGTTTTTAGCACGATGGTTATGCTTTTTTGCTACTTATAAACTCAATGCCCTTCTGTGCAAAGCCTGTTTCGTCTCTTGCTGCGTGCAAAGTCACCCAGCCCTGTGGCAGAATCAAGCTAGGAAAAAAGTGTAGTTTTTATCATTAAGCCCTCAATTTTAATTTAAGGAGTACTTAAAAAAATATAACATACAGATTGCTGAAAAACATCTATCTGGAGAATAGTATCAGTGTGTGCTCTGAACACCGAGAGGATGCTGCACACTCAGCTGTTCTTTCAGGACTGAATGGCTCCATCCCTTTGCAACCTGGTTTAAGCAGTGTCAGGTTTTCTTAGTGAGTCTACCATCTTTTGTCAATATTTATAGTGAAGGTGCAACTGAAATCAGGGATATTGCCATTTGTGAGAGTGTTTCTTGTTCATCTTCCATGACATCCACATTATTTGCACGAAGGGGCGATGTCTTCTGAGCTCATTAACCTGGAAGTCAGTTTGCATTTGTTTCACTTTGGAAACACTCGGAGACAGGTCTGCTCTGATAATTTTGCCAATAACATTAAAGGCAAAAGAGATCACAGCAAAGATTTTTACAAAATACCAATTGAAAATCTCCCACTGCTTTGGAGTCAGCTTTGTGAGCAGCAAACTGCCTGCAAGGCCAGGCCAGTGCCCCACTGCCCACGGGTGGGCACCGATGGGGACCACAGCCTTCCCCAAAGCACCGAGGTGGCAGTCCATGCGGCCGCGCGTACTGTGCCCCGCAGTGCCACGCTGAGAGGCTGAACTTGTGCTGATAGCCTGTTGAAGGAAGGGAAATAACCGGAGGCGACATTTGACAAGTTAGGTTTTTATTCAGTGCATTGGACTCGTACATCACCGCTTCATCAACTAACAACATTTCACACATTCCTATAAAACCAACACTGAGTCCAGCTTCTTGTTAAAGACGCTTGGTGTAAAATGTAAAGCAGTCTGTCAAATATTTACTTTAAGTATAGCTTAGAGCCCAGTAACAGGCTGCGTCCAGCGCATTTGGTGCCGGGTTGCAGCAGTGGGTGGAGAATGGATCAGTGGCTCACGGTTGGTGCAGAGCTTCATTAACAAATGTCTAGACTCAGCTCATTAACATCTCAGCCAATATTTATCAGACTGCTGTAGAGCCCAGCCTCCCTCCAACAGCTGCTAGTTTGATTATGCCGGTTCTTTGAGCATGGGTGGAGCTGCGCCTACAAAATCCCTAATGCAGAACTACCGCAGCACTTAAAACCCGGTTTGGGCTGGGGCAGCCTGTCTGTGCTCCGCTCTGACAGTCACTCCGGCGGCACGGCACAGCATGTCTCACCCCGTCTCTGCAAGCGGGCTGGCAGCAGCAGCCAGAACAGCGTGGAAAACGAAAGAGAAATGCAAGGTGCTCAGGCCTGACTATCAGGGAAGAGTGAGATGTTTTCAGGATGGAGGGGTCTTACACTGCAAACCTCTGGGCAGGGATGACTGCATGCACAACAAACTGGGCAATTATGTGGACGCTGGGGAATGCGGGCAGCTGGAGCATCCCTGCCTGTGCCACTGCTGGGGCACATCCCCGAGCGCTGCAAATGCTCTGTTCCCCGCTCTGTCTCCCACATGGGCAGGCAGAGTGTCCTCAACCCTGTCCCACCCATGGGACAATGCAGGGAAGGCTCCATGGGTATGGCTTGGAGCCGGTCCCCCCTCCCTCTTGCAAGAGTCACCCTGGGCAGCACAGGGTGCCCTGGCAGGGGGACAGGGCTGGTGCCAGCCCCACGGCTCCCCAGCAGAGCCCTCCCAGCAAATCCATCTCCACTCATCCCCTTCCACCACCCCACCCATGTCCCACCTGCCCTGTACTTTGGCCCCAACTCTCGTCCTACTTCGTCCCTGCCCTCAATCGCTCATTCATTCTGTGTGTAAGGAAGGAGACAGCACATTGCCAAATTAGCTATCTCAGAGGAAATCTATCGAGTTTTATTGAGCTGCCCGTTATGGGGCCTGGACTGTTAGGCGCAGTCCCTGTGACGAGCATGCAGTGCTAAGGCATGGTGACCGTCCGTCCGGCGCTCCTGGCTGCTGTCAAGCGCCTCTTATTCCTCAGACCAGAGAACCTCTCATCCAGGGTCAGGCTGGTCTGCAGGGGAAAGGGAGAGCGAGTCAGTCCCACGTCTTGTGGCAAAGCACGGCCAGACTTGCAGCGGGGTATTGATTAGAGCCCATCAGTCAGGACGGTGCTTCACAGCCAGTTAGTCAATTAAATCACTCAACACACGGAGACAAGGAGCTCGACAGACTGTGTGCGGCTGGAAAACCTCCAAGCAGCGCCCAGCCCCAAGACACTGGGTGTCCTCGGCAAGAACAGGAGCAAGCAGATGGCATTTGAGCACAGGGCATCAAGTAAAACCAAACCATCCAGACAAGAAATGCCGGCAATGAAGAAGGTGGAGCAGGATTTCTGACCTGCCCCGGGGCTTCTGGACCATACTCCAGCGTAAAACGTGGCACCAAGGTCACCAAAGCAAAGAGAGAGCAAAGCCCAGAAGTGCTGTGTGTCTCTGAGGAGTGGGGAGCACCAACCGTGAAATAGTCCCCCCCGGCCAGGACTGCTCACAAGCAGCATCTCCCCGCTCCGAGCAAGCACATGGACAGGCCAAGAGGAGCCAACAGAAGGGGGAAAATTAGGCTGAGTCTGTAGTTGCTGAACAGTCTTCTCAGGTGCCTTCAGTTTTGTGAGCAATCTAGCCAACGCGGCTACAGGACTTTCTTCCCAGGTTATGCTAGATAAACCAAACTGGCAGCCCCAAAAACCTGAGCGTGATGCGAACAGCTTAGTGGTAGGGCTGCTGCAGGGTGCAAGGCGTCGCCTGTCCTGTCGATAATCCTCTACCTGGTTGGCCATCGCGCGGAAGTTGAATCTCAGCAGCACCCCCTTGGGCTGGGGCTTGGCTGCCCGTGGCGGGGGCCTCTGGTTTCGCAGGAAAGGGCGCTTGGATCCAGGCCTGGGGAAAGCACAGATCTGCAGTCACTCAGGATGCTAAGGCAGCTCACTTCCTATCGTCTGCAAACCAGCAAGGAGTAAAGGAGACACCTGCATGCCCCATACATCCCATGGCATGACTCTCAGCAGCCTAGGTGGGTCTAAAGCATTCCAGAAGAGCTGTCGTGCAGGCAGAGTTCCAGCACCGGGAACTGTGTCATGTCAAGGCTATCACGGGGTGCTCCGTGCACCCAGGACATGTCAAGTGCCCTCACCCACCCTTCTTTCTGCCTCTAGCTGGGTGCTGGGTCCTGCAGCTGCACCGGCTCAGCCCTGGGGTGCAGCTGCTCCCTTCCAGCCGCTGTGCCCCTCTTACACAGCGAGCATGCAGTGACCTTTCAGGGCGCATGGCATTTCCCCCGTGACACACCACAGCGAGCATCAGCAGACTGCCACCTCCTACACGCTCTTGGTGCTTCCATTTCTCCTTACTCTGGACAACAAATGTACACTCATTATAGAAGAAGCAAAGCTGCAATAATGCTAAAGGGATTTGCAATGGCTTTTGTAGGGCTCCCATCCTAACAAATCACCTCATTTACTTACGCGCCGGTCTGGCCTGCCTGGGGATTAGCCACAGAAACCGTCAGAACTGCTCCAGGGCTGGGTTTCACTTGCCACCTGCCAAGACAGGGAGAAGTATCCAGCTTCGATTTGAGCGTGAAAGAGCGTGTCATGTTTGCAGCGTGCCTTTGCTCACCAATTACCTTCTCATCCTTGGTGGTTTCCCTTCTCCACTAGCATCCATCTGCTGTGAAATATATTAAAAAAAAAATTACTTAAAAGAATTAGCTCTCAGAAACAACGATTCCTTTTCCAGTATTTCATTTGGTGTATCTGAATAGCTCTTTCCTTGCACGTTGTCATGAAATTTGCTAATTTGGGGTTTCCTGCTGGCACAGTGATCTGTATGGGGTGGCTTTACTTTGCCCCACTTCTGCTACTTTATAGGCTGCAAGGTTTACTTTTATCACCTGCCCAGGTTTTATCTGCCAGCTGCCAGAATATTACACTGCATTAAAAATTGCATGTCCTGCAAATACTTTCCTAAGAATATATTAATAGTTAAAGTCATCCATCTCTCCCAGTTACTTTTGGAAGCAAAGATACAACTGGGCAAAGGCTGGTAAAACTGAAGGCTGGTAAAATCGTCACCATCACCACGTTGCAGAAAAAGTCTCCATACTGACCCCTCTCTGAAAGTTGCCTTTGGAGAACCGCTGCTGCGTCTGCTTCTGCTGGAAGGCTGGTCCCCTGTTTAGCAGGAAAGGTCTGCTGGTAAAGGAGGAGAAAGGGACATAGGTGAGTATGATGCCAGGTCTCTCCTCAAGTTTAATGCTGAAATACTTAACCCAGTGTGGTATGAGAAGTAGATGAGACCGTGTGCTACCAAGTTCAGCCCAACAGGTTTTTCTGCCAGCAAAGGATTTCAGAGGAACTCGTTTTTCTGCTCAAATGAAACAACAGCCTGTATTTGTTCTGAACTGTGCTCATTTAAAAAAAAAAAAAAAAATCATGGAAGAAAATCGTAGAAAAAAATCTGGTCAGAAGGGACCTCTGGAGGTCATTCAGTCCCCGCTCTACTCAGAGCAGAGAAAGACAGGATTGCAACGGAGCTTCCTTTTGAGCTCAGAGAACACAGGACCACAATGAGACAGGCACCGAGACTGTGCCCGGCACCCTGCCTTCCTCACAGCTCCTGGGGCGCAGGGTCTGCTCCTGCAGCCCCTCACCACGACAGACTCCCTCTCCCTGCCTATCCCTTAATGGTTGGAATTTGTATTTCCTGCCTTTATGAAAATAAATGCCCTTTCACCCTTCAAAAGTCTTCCCCGAAGTGACAGAGGAAAAATTTTAATAAAAATACAATGGTGACATTTTCCGTGCTTTCTAAAATAAAATGACAGATCTAATACCTGAATTATTAACTATCAGCACAAGGTCGTTTTATTTCCAGGTGCTTTCCTAACATACCTAGGGGTATTTTTCTCATGTTGTTCGAGCAAATGGCTATAGCCACTCCCAGCTAGCACAGACTGAGAGCAGAGCCCCAGGAGCTGCACAGGGAATTGCTGAATACAAAAAAAAGCCCAGAATTACCAAAGATTTTACCTTCTCCCCGGGACATGGGTGCTGGCAGCAGCTGCTCTGAATCTCTTGGGGCCTGGCGGTGGTCGTCGCCGTCCCTCCGGCTGCCCGCTGCTGCTGCTTTTGGTGAAAGCATCGTTGTTCTTGATGCCCTGGAAGAGCAGCGAGAGCTCAGCAGTTGCCACCCGCGCCGCAATCTCAATGCACGAAGAGGGAGCGAGCACGAGAGTCAGCACGCAACCGCCCTTCCCTCCGCTACCTGCCGCTGCCTGAAAAGCTGGTGCATTTATTTGGCATTTTTGTTTGGGTCTGCCTAGGAGGAAATCCAGCCTGCTCCAAAGTGCAGGTGGTGATTGCTGACACCGCTGTCTTTCCCTCGCTGCTCTCAGATGCATTCGGTGCCACTTGCAATTGCTTCAAAGGGGGCTCAGCCCCGCACTGTGTGCTCTGCATTCCCCCTATTCTCATTCCCAACTGTTTTTCCTTTGCAGGTTCTGCAGTCTTCCAATAGAACAACCCTGCTCTGCAAGTGCTTTTTTTTTTTTTCTCCTTTGATATTTTCTTGATGGGAAACTGATTCCTCACTAAATCTATTAAAACCTGGTCTCTTCCGTGGCCTTTTGTATCTATGGCAGGAATATTTCTACAGAGCAGCGCTGCTGTAGTCTCAACATTTGGATTTAGTATACACTGTTGTCAACAATCAGTATGTGTGCCTCAGTTCCTGGGCATGAAACTGCAAGTACCAGGAAGAATGTTTCATTCCAATAATGCAGAAATACAAAAAAAAATAGTCCCTGGAGAGCAAATCTTACACAAGCCAAGCATTATAGCTTTGCTCAGGTTTCTTTTCGGTCATTGACTCTTTCTTGTTTCGACATGTACGTTGCCCGGTCCAAGCCCTGAAGCATGAAGCACATCAGAAGACCCCTCAGCAGTGTAGGTCATCCTGTAGCTACTTAGACAAACTGCCACAGGCTCTATCCCATTTATTTCTGTGGGACAACCACCACCACTGTTACTACCCACTAACCGAGATGTGTTTCCACATTCTTCCCACTTGGTTTATTTCTGCAAAATGGAAGTTACCGCAGAATTATGCCTCCTAGCAACTGCTTATTACTTTCTGTTAATACCCAGCCACACTCAGTATCTGAGTCATCACAGTCTTTATTTTCAGGAATAACCACATTCCATGCACATCCATGCTTAGTTCAGGGCTCTCTTATTTATACCCCCGGGACACAGCCATCAAATGTGCCATCATGTTCGCCACCTTGGCGGTTTTTTAAAAGCTTACTGAGCATATGTGACCTCCTAATTGAGTGGATTTCCATTAGTGCAGAAAAAACCAACCCCTTCTCACAGAGGACTATCTACCTGCTTGATTTCTACCTTCCACACCAAGCCATTTTAATATCAGTGACACTCAGAAGAAAGCTGTAAGAATTACTTTAATGGTGAACATGTCCCTTCCTTCCCATCTCTCACGTCTTAAAAATAACTCAAAAAACAAATGAAAATATTTCAATTTTTTTTAAAGTGTTTTTGAGCAGAGACAAGACCTAAACAGTTAAACTTGAAAAAGGGAAAGTCATGAGTGAAAAAAAATGCATGTGGCCAATCTGACCCATGGCTGTCACAGTACTGGGAATCAGTGTCTCTGGGGGGATACCCACTTGCTAGTGAAACGTATGTCTGAGCCAAAGCCACCTGAAGTCAACAACATGCCATCCTTTGACTTCACTAGACCTTGGAAAATGTTCTGGGTGCAGAACAAATAATGGTGAATCTTAACGGTAATAGTAAGATGAGATGACATGGAATTTGTTTTTAAGGAAATAATTTAATATCTTTTAAGAACATAGTTTTTAAAAATCTTTTTTGTAAAACCCATGGGAACTGATTCAGTAAAATTATGCCAAGTCCTAAGCTTATAAAACCAACTGGAAAATTGCTATTTTATATGCATATGTGTCTGTACTCACCTATGCATACAAATGCTGTGCACACGCATATAAAAGATGGTGCCTATAAATTTTTTATGTAGATTGTTCTTTGGGGTGATCCAGGATCATAAAATCCAGCAGATTTCTACATGACATTTGGAAACAGCTGCACCTTCCTTACCCCCTACCTCTTGAGCCGATGCCTGGCGATTTAAAGGGCTCACTCCATTTAATGAGGCAGCTGCTCTTCTCCTGGGACCGGGCACAGTATTCCTGAATTGCCTCCGATTGTATTGTTGTTGTCCAAACCCTCTTCTAAAACGGTTAGGTCCTATGAAAATAAACTCTTATTTTAGCATCCTTCAAAACTTGATTTATGATTACAGTTTTGCAAATGGATTACAAGGTTAACTTAATATGATATAGGAAATATATAAATATATATATGATATATATATATATAAATAGTGACGCAAGAATAACATTAATTTATTCCA